ATATAAACAGAGCTATTGCAGTGACAGAAAATCTCAGCTGGGGTCAGATAAAGAATTCTCACTTGTTTTATCAGCAATTGATTATGATTTTTGGCAATATAATTGTAATATTTAAAGATAAGGCTGGGTTGTGGCTGGGCATTCGTGTGGGTGTGAGATGGGAAGAAATTTTCTTCCTTGATGGAGCAGTGTGTCTTGAGAAAGAGATTGATAGTTTAAAAACACCCAAGCTTTTGTCTTGGGCTACTCCATGGTTGGTTTAAAGGTTTGCCCATAGCCTGGGTTGGTTTATACCAAATTAATGTGGGCACACTTTGTAGTGTAGTTTCTTTTCTTACAACATAACAAAACGGATAATGTAACTTATAAAAATATAATGTAATTAATTAATGTAATAATGTAACTTTAAAAAAATTTCAACCTTCCTGAAAACAATGAGTTTTCCTTTTGGTGATGTGTAGCTCATTTTCTATTAATAAATCTGCTTTTACTTTTTGTTTTCAAAGCGACCATTCAAAACACAAGCCTATATTCCAAGTAATGTAAAAAGTGTGGCAGAAGAGGAGTATCTGATCCACTCACGTAACATTTTCTTCATCAGGAGACCAGGAAAAGAAAGTTTGTTGAAATCCTGTGTAATAAAACCACACAGTTCAAACCCCAAAGGTCAGAAGGGACAACAAAAGCTCTGGGACTTGCCAATTCAGCAGCTCCCAGTCATTTCTGTGCTGGAGTTGTACAGGGATGGGAGAGGACTGTGCATCAACCTGTTGTAAAAATTTTCTGTAGAATTTGAGAGAGTCACAAGGGGCAGGAGAACATGATGTCTGTGCTTTATAAACACACTTTTTGTGGTTTTGTTAGATTTTAGAACATTTTTAAAGCATTGTCAAAGCCACTAGTTGAGATGATACATACATAAATTCCAGTTGTGTTATCAGTGAGGAAATGTGTAGTTACCTTGTTGTGCCTACTGTAGCCAGGAGGAAATCACACTGAGTGCCAGGAAAAAGCAAAGGGACCACAGGGCTTGGCTGTAAGTAGTGATCTGGGCAGGAATCTCCTCTGTCTGTGGTAGCTGGATAATTTCTGCCAGCAGCTCTGTTTCAGCCCCTAACCATGGATCAGACAATTGCTTTTATTCCCTTTGCGTGTTGGAAGTGCAAGCAGAGATTATGCTTCGCTGGCTAAGATAGAAATAGCATTCAAGGAAACAAACTTAGTGTTCTGGAGACTTGGGCTGGCAGGAGACTGAGTGGTGGCCTCTGTGCTTACACCACCTTTCCACACACTGATTTTTTGTTTAGCTTGCTTTGTGTGCTGTGTCTGGAGTGCTGTGTCTGATTTGCCACTCAATTTTTAGCACAGTTCTTTAAAGGAGAAACTTCAGTAATGGTTGACACAAGGCATTGGGTTAACTCAGCTGCAAACTTGACCATTGTGTTGACATTGGTGAATATTGAACTTGTATAGGCAGCCACTTGCTTTGGTGGCTCTGGGGGAGTGTAAGCACACTGCCTGGATGGCTGTTTCCAGGGACAGGCACAGTATCAAGCAAAGTGAAAGTGTGCCTTGGTAGCTAAATTCACCCTTTGGTGATTCAGGTGAACTCTCACTTTTCTATAGTTTCAAACTGAATTTTGGGCTGCCATGTTGAGGTGGAGCCTCACTCTTTCAAGAAGAGGTGCATTTCATGCTCCTCTTGTCTGGGGGTGGTGGGATTCTGCCTGGAAAAAATACTTTGCATGGGAATAGAGTCATTTATGAGAAGCTGTGATTGTACAAAATTACACTGAGCCTTGAATCTCCTTCCAGACAGAAGAGATATTTGTAAGTGCAGAGTGCATGAACTCATCAAAACAGTTCAAATCCAAGGGTCTGCCTTCAAGTCTGTGTGTGCAGCAGTACTTTGTGAGATTTCAGTCTCTTAAATATGCACAGTCCTCCCACACATGGAGCTTCCAGCTTTTGACTGGGAGGCTGCTGCAGCAGGAGCATCACTCAGATAGGAATAGCACAGCCCTTGGCTGTGCCTTTCCCTGGAAAAGCTACATGCACATGCACATCACAGACATGGGATCCCAGGCTGGGTTGTGTTAGAAGGGACTTGAAAAATCATCCAGTTCCACCCCCTGCCATGGGCAGGGTCACCTTCCACAATCCCAGGCTGCTCCATGCCTTGTCCAGCCTGGAAATGGACACAGGGATGGGGCAACCTGTGCCAGGGCCTCCCCACCTCACAGGGAACAGTTTCTTCCTAATATCTAAACTAAATCCACCCACCTTCAGCTGAAGACCATTCTAGCTTGTGCTGTCACTACATGCCCTTAAAGGGCAGTCTGGATATAATGAAACCCAAAACTTTGAAGAAAATGTTTTTCTTTGCCTTTTCTTTTATTGGGAAGAGTGAAACATGAAAAATCTCAGCCTTTTGGTACTCTGACTAAAAGAATAGTGGCAGCATGGCAATAAAATTTGGAAAATGTTCTTCTTCCCTTGTAAGACATGCAAGAGGTTGCACATTGCAGAATTTACTGCAACAGAAGACAATTAAAAAAATTCATTTCCCCATCAAGTCAACACTGATGTGATATGGCAGAAACCACCTTCTCCCCTTCCCAGAGTTTCTGCACCACTTTGCTTCAAGTTGGCTTGATAAGTAGTTTTTTAAAAGAAGTGCTGCTTTTTCATGTGCTCTAAACAATGAGTTTGCTACACCTCTGAAAATCAGGCTGCTTATGTAAGGACCTAAATAAGGCTGTTTCATGCCAGTTTGAAAATAATTCCATAACTTTTATATGCCTTCTCTCCCTATAAAGCACATACGTGTAAAGTGGCAGGACACTGTGCCTAAAGGCTTTTTTTATTTGAAACATCACAGTGTTGAAGAAGGCAATTTGATCTGGGAAAACAGACTTGATATCTCTGAGTCTGGGGCTTTGTTCTTGGGTGAGCTGTGTAGTGAAAAGCTGTTCATTCCCTGTTAAACCTCCACAATCAAACATTCCAGAGACAGAACACTGTAAAAATGTAAAAGCAAAACCTTACGCTGTAGTAGTGTACTCTTGAGAGTCACATAACAGCAACGTTATTTGATCCTCCAAATCTGATTTAATCCTTAATGTACTTCCCAAGGCTTAAATTTGAGGTAATTTGGGACACTGTTACCTCAAATTCTAGCCTTTACATTTGGGCTTCTTGCAGAACACCTGGCTGATGTTTTATTTTCATTGCTTAATGTTCTGCCTTACTAAAAGCAGATTTCTCTGTAGGAACGGTGGTCGCATTTTGCTCTTGTTTATAAACAATCACTTGTCACTCCCCGACTTTAGGTAATGAGCAGGGGCTGTGCCCAGGAACACTTGGATTGGTGATTGGTGTTTTTCTGTGTTTTCCAACTTTGAGTTGGGCTTGGCCTGGTGTTTTTCTGAAGTTCTGTTCAGGTCTGAAGCATTTTCTTATCAATAATTGTCTTATCAATAAATCTGCTATAATGTAACAACTGCTGCTAGTAGTAACTGTGAGGTCACACTGCAGTTTCCCACACTGGTGAGTTGGTCATTGTAATGCTGGTCATCAGCAGGTCAGGAATAACCAACCCTCCAGCTTCCCATATGAGTCTGATTCAGCTCCTGTCCTGGTTTGGGCTGTGCTGCAACCTCTGCCTCACTTACTGTTTTGCTTTCTTTTAAAGAACAAAGTTTACAACCTAAATAAAGCTTTAATGAAAACCCCATGTGATGGGGTAGGATACAGGAAGGTAATCCAGGTTCCTGGCTGTTCCTGTTTGTTGCTGGAGAGGAGCTGAAGCCCAGGGCAGGAGCTTTTCATCCTGTGGGCTGAAGGGCTTATCTCTGCTCTCTGCAGTGACCTCATCCTGAGGAGTTATGGCACTGAGCTGTTTCCTTGCCATTGGCTGTGTCCTACCTGGCCACCTCTTTCTCCCTTCCAATGGCTGTTTGCAGAGCCTGGAAATTTGCACCTACTGTAACTGATCTTACTTTTTAGCAAAATACTTTCTGTTAAGGACTTTTTTTTTTTTTACCCCACTCTCAGGTTCTTATGGAATGTAAAACTGGACTTTGTTCCATGTTGCAGGCTGAATTCACTTATTGTGGCCCGGCATTAGAGCCTCTTGTTTCAGAAGGGACCATCCCAAAACTATGTTTGCAGTGGGCAGCTCTGGCAGCATGACTCCCAACCATCAGCCTGGCTCTGTGGGAAGGTGGCACCACCATGGCTTGTGGAAAAAAGACCTCTCAGTGGGGCATGGAGCAAGGATGGGGGCACCTTTTAAAAGGGATCCCAACTCTTGTTTTAAGTGCATTCTCCCAGAAGCTCATGCAGGGGAGAAGTGGAGAGCAGTGGTGGGAGATCAGCAAGGAGGGTCTGCTGTTCTGTGAAACTCTCAAAGTTTTACTTGCTTATGAGGGTGATGTCGATGTAGTTAGAGAATTTGAACAATCTTGCCACGATGGACATGGAGGGTCAATCAAAGGTCCAGAATGGCCATAACTAGGTGGGGCCCTGAGGGAGCAGCCACAAACCATCATTTGGTGGAATCAAGGAACCTGTATCACCGGGCTTTGTTCCCTAACACCTTGTCTCAAGGGTTTGCAGAAGGATCCTGAGCTTGTGGGCTGTGCCAGGCCCAGGAACAGTGGTGGGACTCAAACCATAGCTGAGCTGGGGTCAGCTTCAGTGTCATAATGCTATGGGAACTCTGCAGATAATCTTTCACGATTTTGACCTTTAGGCCCTTGTTTAAAATTGTGGTGTTTGTTTACTGGGCAATTCCTGCTGTGGGTTACCGAGAGTATTGCCTGAGTGGAGTTTCTGTTGGAACCATTTATTTGTTTCTTTTAGAGCAGTAATTATTTACCAAGTATCGGCGGCTGTCTGGAAAGTCTAGTTAATTATCAGCTCACCTCAGTGAAACTGCACGTAGTGAAAATACTTAAATAAAAAATTGAAAGTTGTTCTTTTTCCTCTTGTTTCAGGTACTGGACCCACGAGTCACATGTGAGTTGTGTCCTACAAATGCTCTGAGCACCCCCTCGGGCCGTCTCCTTGATGCACACTCACGGCATCATGGCCAGCACTCAGGAGCGCCTGAGCCTGTCTTCCTCTCCCAACTCCATCGGCAAAGCGTTCTGTGAGGACAAAGACTTGGGGAGGTTCCCCGAGGAGCACCCCGCTGCCGGCAGCCGCCCGTCCCCGGAGCTGCTGGAGGACGTGCGGGAGCGGGGCTCGCTGCCGGCCGAGCTGCTGGAGGGCGTGAGCAGCCCGGGCACGGCGGCCGTGCTGACCAGCATCAGCGAGGATGCCCGTGACCACTTTGAGAACAGCGTGCTGCAGCTGCGAGAGCAGGACGAGCCCGAGCCGGGGCTGCCGCAGGGCACCCGCAGCCCGGGCGACGGCGACACCAACGGGGCCGCCGACGATGTCAAGGTCCAGTTCAACCGCACGGGCAGCGGCAGCGGCGGCTTCCTCGAGGGGCTCTTCGGGTGCCTGCGGCCCGTGTGGAACATCATCGGCAAGGCTTACTCCACGGACTACAAACTGCAGCAGCAAGGTAAGGGGAGCCGCCTGCGCTGCCCTGGGCACGGTGACACAGGGCTCCTCCCCTGCTCTCCACCTGGCCGTTCTTGTCCTGTCCAGCCCTGCCATGGCTTTCCAGGGATAAATCCTGCACTACAGAGCCGACAGCCGCCATGTGTGGCAAAGGCAGCTCGTGGGGGAGTCAAAACCGACTGCCTGGTCAGCCCCCTGTGGGACAAGGCCTGAATCTAAACTGAGCATGGAGATGAGAGGGAATTCTGTTGATGTACTTGGTACAATCCCTGTGCTGATTTCTTGAGATTTTTTTATGCCACATGGAAAACACTGACATAGGCACTTCCACTTTAGAATCTCTAGGTGAAGGATGTCCCCAGTTGACCACTAAAAAACAGTAGTATTGCTTCCTTCTTAAAACGACTCTTATTTCTTTTTATTCAGGAGTAATTTTCCTCTTTAAAATATCATTCAGTACTTGTCTTTCCAGAAATATGTTCTTTAATATTTATACCTTTTCCATTTGGATGTGTAAGCATAAATGTGTAAGTGTATGTGAGTATAAATACGTATAAAATCTGTAGCTTGGGAATAAGTGATGTCCCAGTTGACTACATATGTATCTGTATATCTATATATATCTTTAGGGGGTACTAAAAGCTAAAGAGCAGAGTATGCTCTGCTGTTGGTGTCTGATTTCTCCCCTAGCACAGGGGGAGGGAGGTGGCAGATGGGAAAAGAACAAGCTGTCATTAGAATTAAGGAGCTGAAATGGTTGAGGCTTATGGAAAATGGGAACAGCCTGGCCACCGCAGTACCATAGGGCAAAGCCTCCTTTGAGCATCACTCAGTAGTAATCAAATGGCTTTTTGGCACTGACAAATTACAAGATACAAGGTCAGAAACCTGTCTGAGTGGTTCTAATCTAAACCCCAGAGGGATGGGGGACAGCTCCTAATATGAGAGAGCAGAGCTGTTAAATAACATGTTGGATGAATTTGCCTTGAAATCAACTTCCTAGAGTCAGTCGTTTCCAGTTCATAAGCGAGCAGGAAATGCACCTCTACATTCCAGATGCCTCCTGAGCTCAGCCCTGTGTGCAAGGGTTTGCTTGGTTTGAAATTCTCTGGCATCCTTGGTTCTGTTTTGTTTGCATGTTGTAAATTTGGTGTGGCACATGTGGTTCAGACTATAAATAAAAACAGTGACAGAAAGTTCCCTGGGGGATTAAGGCTGCTGGGGTGTTTGCACACAGGGTGAACAGTTTTGGAAGGGGCTGTCTGGGTGGGGAGTCTCCCTTGGGAAGGAAAAGGAGGAAAGGATGTTCTGAGCAGTCAGATGACATTCAGAGCAGGCATTGGGCAGTGTCTGTGTGACAGTGCTTTGGGTTGGATGCTCAGTGTTTATAAGTGAAGTTAAACATTTCCGATGAAAGGCTACAGATGGAGAGTGGCCATGGCCACTCCTAGCAATCCTCTGTGTGCCCCACACCTGTCCCCACTGCTGGCTCTGAGCCATCCCTGGTGTGTCCCTGTCACCTCAGTCAGAGCAGTGGCTTTGGGAGAGCTGCCTGTGAGACAGATCCCATTTCCCAAATAACTGGGCCAGCAGATGCACTGAAAACCACGGTGCAATCTGTGCTTTGGTGGCCCACAGGGGACACTGGCTTTTGTATGGAAGTCACCAAACTAAAAGATTGAAGCACTAAGGAATGAAAAGGAGCAGCTGAGAACAGTGCTGGGGCTGGAGGGTGCACACAGAGCTCGTTCCTGTGCACAGGGTGTCTTGCTGTTCTCTGTGTTGGGAGCATGTTCAGAGCCACACATTCAGGGGCACTGCTGTTTGCTGCTGGCATCAGGCCCTTCTAAAAGGGCAGATTTGAATGGGTTACAGATGTGGTAAGGCTGAGGATTAATTGGGATCAGCTATATGTGGCCTGTGTGGTTGAGTTGAGTTTTCAGCGTCTTCACTGTTAGAAAAGGGAGTGAAAAGAAGATTTAAAAAAAATATTATTACTTTTTCTTCTGGAGCTGCTCAGTTGTCTGGCTCTGATGACATCTGTTACTCTGTTACTCTGATGGCAGTACTACACTTCTGTTACCCAAGGATAAACCTTTTCAAACTGCTTCTGTGCTGAAACTTGAGGATTTTGTGAGAATATTCATGTTCTCTTTTCCAGATGATCTCATTCTTGCTTCTTGCCACCAGAAAATCATCTTTGTGTGCATTTCATCAGCTACATACAAGCCAGCAGTTCAGTAACTGATGTATGTGATTATTTTTATTTTTGCTGTCTTTTAGCAAGAGCACAGAGGATGCATGGATTGTGTTTGTGCAAGTGCTGTGTGGCTGAGGAAATGTCTGGGGCTCTTTCAGCAGCAGGGAGAGGATTGTGGTGGCTTTTCATTTCCCTGGGAGCTGCTTTACAGCTTTGGGCTGGTGCCATGGATCTGTGCAGATGATTTTTCCCCCCCCTTCTTTATGAGACAACTACTTAAAGCCTTATCCAGGAGTTAATCCTTTGTGTTGGGCTGAATTGACAACAGGGGTAGGAGTCTACTTTGGATCTGCAGCCATGTGCCTTCCAGTACTTAAAGAGGGCTTATAAAAAAGAGGGAGGCAGTGATAGGGCAAGGGGAAATGGTTTTAAACTAATAGAAGAGAGATTAAGATTAAATTAGGAGGAAATCCTTCTCTGTGAGAGTGATGGGGCCCTGGCACAGGGTGCCCAGAGAAGCTGTGGCTGCCCCTGGATCCCTGGCAGTGTCCAAGGCCAGGCTGGATGGGGCTTGGAGCAGCCTGGGATAGTGGAAGGTGTCCCTGCCCAAGGCAAGGGGTGGAAGGGGATGGGCTTTAGGATCCCTTCCAACCCACACCATTTTATGTTGCCTGCAGCTGCTTCGTGGTACTTTTTGCTGCTCCCTGGTATCCCTGCCCACCTGCTTTGGCTGTCCTGCAGGCCCATTCTTTGGGACATGGTGGTAGTGTTGTGGTTGCAAGTACTAGAAGACAAATAGGTTCCATGTCCTTGAGCCCATACTGCCTGTGGAGCTTTGGCTTGTGACTTGGTGAAAGAGGGAAAAGAACAGCTTTTACATGATTCTGCATTATCTTCTTGTTGAAATTTCTTCTTGAGTGTCCTTTCTGACAGCCAAATGGTCAACAAGAGGGATGTGCTGTTCTTCCCTGCAGGACAAGGGCTGGGCAGAGCGTTGGTCAGCTGGGAGCTGCCACGGGCTCTGTGCTGGCTGATCAAGGGATGCCAATTGCTGCTTGATGAGGAGTCATTCCCGTGGGGAATGTTTGCTTTTGTATTATTTAGTGCCACCTGATTATCTGAGGTTTAAGTACTTGGGGTTTGACCCATGAAATCCCTCCCTCCTATGTTTCTCCAGTTGTTTACCCTGATTTCTAAAGGCTGTTAGTGAGTGCTTTCAGGGAGACACACTCAGTTCTTTAATTTGCATCTACCTGTTATTTAATTGGGATTGTGGGGGCTCCAACACTTTAAAACAAGGTTTGTTTGTGTTTCCTTGAGACTCATTAGACTTCCTAGCCATTTCCTTTGGATTAAGAAGCTGTCTCCATGAGCTGCTTTCAGAGTTGTGTGTTTACCATCATTGTGAGAGTGTTTGTGTGTACCTGAAGAGCAAGGTGCCCATCAGAGGGTGCTTGTTGAGGGGGTCTGTGTAAACCAGAGATGCTTCTTGTCACAGTGCCAGTGCTGGAGAGCAGCCAGTGCTGGGAAAAACTTCATCCAAATAGATTGGTTCAATGGCTCAGGCTGCTCCTGTGTTTCTTCCCCATGGGAAATAGATTCTCATCATTCTACTCAAATGGTTTTTAATCACCTCAGAAACGCAAGTTCTTGCGCAATTCCTGCTGCTATTACTTTAATTTATTTAGGAGAAGTATCCCGCTGGTTTCTTAAGGCCCAGAAGAGTCTGACTACTGCCTTGTATGTTACCTATGGTTTGGCTCTTTGTTTCTCTTGGTATTCCCAAAGATGTGGGATATTTCACTGTCACTACACTGAAACCTCTTCCCTGAATTGTGCCCCTGACAATCAGGATGCAAGTGGGAAAGCATCTGTGTTCCTAAATAAACACAGGATGACTGCAGAAAGAACCACATGAACTTTTCCTTACTTTGTTTACAGCCTGTCTCAGCCTCTGCCATTGCAGAGGGAATATCAGAGGAAGGTAATATTACCTGATAGGGAATATTAAGAGCAAACTAGGGTTCCAAGGTGATATAGTTATCCATTACTGCTCACAGACTGTAGATGCTTAATGGAAATGAATGTTCTGTGTCCTGTACAGTAAAGACACTTCCCACAGTAAGGATGGAAAGAGACTTTGGACAATGGGGAATGGTTTCCCACTTCCAGAGGGCAAGGATAGACAGGATACTGGGGAGAAATTCTTCCCTGTGAGGGTGCTGAGGCCTGGCACAGGGTGCCCAGAGCAGCTGTGGCTGCCCCATTCCTGAAAATGTCCAAGGCCAGGTTGGATGGTGCTTGGAGCAACCTGGGATAGTGGAAGGTGTCCCTGCCCATGGCAAGGGGTGGCACTGGAGATGGACTTTTAGATCCCTTCCACTCCAGTCCATTCATGATTCTATGAAAGAAACAGCTATTTCAGTACAACAGAATAGTTGCTATGTTGCTTGTCTAAAAATACTGTTCATCAACATGCACAAAAATCACCTCTATTTGCCACTTCCTTTCAGATGTGATGCATATGTGAGTTAAGTAGAAATACAGATCTTCTTGATTTAATTATGAATGAATGAACTAATTCTATTATTTCTCTAATTATTTTCTTTAGTTAAAATATTTTAGTGTTTAAATGTCCAAAGATTTAAATGCCAATTTATGTTCAGAGCTGTGAGTGGATCCATGAGTGTGGAAAATAGCCTTATGTCTGGGAAGGAACACATGCTGGGGGTTGAACTCTGCCCTGCCAAGGCAGAGGGAGTTTCTGCTGTGGATGAGCAATGTTTTTGTTTTTAGTTCAGTGAGCAGAAGGAGCACTGGGGTCTGGCTCTGGGGGAGAGCTGCTTTTCCATGGCCATGCCTGGGGAGCACTTGCTCAACAGGAGACAGCAGCCACTGCTTGCCTCTGGCAGGAATGATCCCAGGGAAAGCTTTGAGCTGGGATCAGCCCACAGACAGCTGGGATACACAGGTTTCCCTTCAGTGATAACAGGATCTAGAATGGACACTTTGGCATGATCCCAGCTGCAGCCCTGGGAACATCCCAAAGGCTCAGAGCCTGGATGAGACGAGGACACACCTTTGTAGTCATCTGAAACAGAGATCTGTACAGGTGTGACTTCCTTTTATTTCAGGAATCAGTGGGTTACTTGTTGGGTTAGCTGCTAAATAATTTATTCTTCAAACTTAGATCTTTATTGAATTACAGTAAATAAGCAATTGCCTGCCTTTTATCCTGCTATTTGTGAGATTTAAGGTAATTTCAACATGACTGATAGGGAACAGGGCTTTCTGTTCTGATGGGAGCAGCTCTCTTGAAGCAGTTTATACAGTGCCCCTGGACCACTCCAGCATTATCCCTACAAATGTGTGTGGGTACCAAAGAGGAGGAATTGCTTAAGGTTGTTTTGCCTGTTTGACATTGATATACATGAAGGATCTGTTTCTGTGCCTGCTGCTGGTGGTTGATATGCTTTGTGTTGGCTATCTTGGTGGTTGCTGCTCTGTGTTTTACAGCCTGCCACCTCTGACTTTTATTTCCTATTTTTGTTTATTTCAGGGGCTGAAGAAGACCCTCAATATTTTTTGTATCACTTGTGAATGTTAAATGTTTCTGCTAATCTATGCTTTTCAATGGAGCCATGCATTTTGCTCAGTGTTGGGGGAGAGGATCTCCTCCCAAAATTGCCAATCCAGTGTCCCTGGTATGGTAAATTGCTGCCTGCCAAGCTGGAGTGGCTCACACAAGTGGTTAGCAGGGAGGTGAAAAAGCAGCTGGAAGGATGGGAATGAGCAGGCTGGAGGTGGCTGGGATGGCTGAGAGGGTTGCTGAGGCTGAGCACACGTGGTGTGTGCCTCACTTGTGCCAGGAGAAGATGTCACCTACTCCCTCCAGAACGGCCCAGCCTGTGGTGCAGGAGGTGGCAGGTGCTGCCCTGGTGTGCTCTGACAGTTCTCATGGTCCTGACCTTTTCCATTATCCCTTTTTTCTCCTGTGCCCAGACACGTGGGAGGTGCCGTTCGAGGAGATCTCGGAGCTGCAGTGGCTGGGCAGTGGGGCACAGGGAGCTGTGTTCCTGGGCAAATTCCGGGCTGAGGAGGTGGCCATCAAGAAAGTGAGGGATCAGAACGAGACAGACATCAAGCACCTGCGGAAGCTCAAGCATCCCAACATTATCGCCTTCAAGTAGGTTGTGACCCCTGTCAGGAGCTTTGCCCAGGCAAGAGCTCAAGTTCTCACAATGCAGGAGCTAAGCTTGTCTAGGACAAAGTGGTGCTCACCCTTCCTGTCCAGTTGTCTGTCTGCTGCTCCTCACTGTGTGTTTTGTTTGACAGGGGAGTTTGCACCCAGGCCCCGTGCTACTGCATCATCATGGAGTACTGTGCCCACGGGCAGCTCTACGAGGTGCTGCGGGCTGGCAGGAAGGTCACCCCACGGCTGCTGGTGGACTGGTCCACGGGGATTGCCAGTGGCATGAACTACCTGCACCTCCACAAAATCATCCATCGAGACCTCAAGTCACCAAAGTGAGTCTCAGCTGCTTAAACATCCTTTAGTTTGGGTTCCTCAAGTCACCAAAGTTAAATATCCCTCAATTGTGGTTCTTCAGGTCATCAAAGTGAGTCTCAGGTGCTTAAACATCCTCTAGCTGGGGCTATTTTTTCCTTTTCTCAAGAAATAGTTTAAGGTTTGGTTAAAAGGCTCTACTGTTTTCCCCCCCTGTTGACTCAAAACTAATGAGAGTGAAACTATTGCAACTTGTTGGCACTTAACAAAAATGGAAATTTTCCAGTATTTTCCATGATAAGTAGCAGTCAGGAAATATTTAATGATTTGACAATATCTGGTCTTTTTGGAAAGTGGGATATTCTGTTGCCTCCTTCCTTTTTTTTTTTCCTTCTTATTCTCCTGTTATTTCCCTGGTTTTCTGGAATGTGTCTTCCTCATTTCTCTGTTGCTTTCTGACTAAAATGTTCTGGCTTCTTTATATTCTTATTCCCTAGGTGTTTATTACTTCTTTAGTCTGTGACAGTGCATTAAGATAATGCTTTTAGATTATTTACAGCACAGTTTAAGATACAGCTTTGCCTCTGGATCCTCAGTTACTTGTTAATTTGCAGTTTTATTGAGATTGATTTTTGACTTGTAACATTAAGAAATGCATTTAAGGCATAAAACACAACCACCCAAAAGAGAGTGAGAGCTTTTATTGGGGAAAATAAAAAATCTTTTATTTTGTACTGCACTTGTGAGCAGTGTGGTCTCATCAACATGTTGATCAAGAAAGGATTTACTCCAGTGGTTGTTGTGGTGCAAGAAAAATCACAAAATGCTGACGACTTCTTTTTTTTTTCTTCTCCTTCTCCAGTGTTTTGGTTACACACACAGATGCAGTGAAGATTTCAGATTTTGGTACATCTAAAGAGCTCAGTGATAAAAGTACCAAAATGTCCTTTGCGGGGACGGTGGCGTGGATGGCCCCGGAGGTGATACGGAACGAGCCCGTCTCTGAGAAGGTGGACATCTGGTGAGTCCTGGTCATGGTCAAGCACCTTCACCTTCTCTTCAGTCCCTGGGTTTCCCAGCACTTTCCATGTCCTTTGCTCATCCTCGCATGGTTTGCTCTGTGGTGGGCTGCTCCTTTCTCCTGCCTGTTGCCCTGAGCTTTGGTGGGCTCTGATGGAAAGGGAAGTGACACAGATGTGCTGGCTGGGTGCTGACCTGCAGCTTCCAGCTAAGGCTCAGTGCAGCCCGTCTGTGTCTTGGAGGAAACAAATGCAGAAATTGTTCATTGTGTTGTTATCCAGCCCAGAGCTTTCTCCCAGTGCTGTGCTCACGGCCTCCTCAGCAGCCTCCACAGCCAGGGTGGTTTTCCATCATTTCTGGCCTTCCTCAGGGCCACACTGGAGCTGTGGGGAGGCTCCTGCTCTGCTCCCCACCCCCTTGTGCTTCCTGTGTTTTATTGGTAGCCCCAGGATTACAGTCCAGTGAATGCAATCCCAGATCCAAGAGGGAGGAAACCAGGACAGATTGTAAGAATTTTGGAACCTGTATCCATTGATGTGGAACATGTTCTGTGTCCAAAGGAACACAAGGAATGGTTCAGTCTCTGTGCTATTAAAAATGCCTGAGAGGGCTCAGTCTTGGAGTTCCTTTGGGAAGCCTCTCCACAGGTTTCAGAGCCCTCAAGGGAACTGCATCTCTATTTCTGCCTCATTATTTCAGCATATTAAATGTCAGCAGCCAGGACAAATGCCCTTCTCCCTGCTTTACAGCCAGGAGGAATTTTGCATCCTGTGGTTTTTCAGCTTCAGATGCTGTCCCTTCCCTGGCAGGGCAGGGAGTTGCTGGACAAAGCCATGGGTGGTCCAGGGTGCAGTGGAGTCAGAAGCTGCTGCTGGAGTTCTAGCTTGGGCCTGGGCTTGACCTGAAGGGCAAGATTTCCTGCAGGGAAATGGTGTCACCTGTGGTGTGCAGCTGCTCACGTGCCCACGGTGTCCTGTGTGTTTATATTTGGATGATCCAGCACAGCCATCTCCTCTGGGAGGAACACTTGGGTTGCTCTGGAAAGAGAACACACCCAGTATTTGTTTGCTGAACCCCTCCCTTTGAGTCACTGGACTGTGAGGATGAGTGATGCTGGATTTCCACCCCGGCTTTCTGTCTTTTAGAGTGGTTTATGTTCAGGAATATTTCACAGAACATCCTGTCCAATAAAACCTTTGCTCCTTCCCTCAGTGACTTGGAGATGTTGTTCTTTGGTGCCAGCTCCTCTGGAGTTCACAGCAGTGGTGATTGCTCAGACTCTCCCTTGCCATCCATTCCTCCCTCAAGATAAATAAAAATGATGTTAATGAATGCTGCCAACAAATGAGAACAGTTCCTGAGCTGCTTATGTCTGCTCTCTCTCATCTCAAACAGCATGCAGAAAAATAAATCTATAATCTTATCAGGAGTCTTGGAAATCCTTTGTGAGTTCTTAGTCATAACATATATGAAACCAGATGAGCTTTCCCTGGTAGTTTGTCCAGCCTCCTGGATCCCTGCTTTCCTGTAGCCCACAAAAAAGGATTTAGAGGCGAGAAATATTAAAATTCTGCTTGTTGGTTATTTTTGGTTTTTTTACACATAATTTGAAGCCATTGGGCTTTGAAAGTGCAGTGTTTGCAGTGTTTTTCACATGAAGTTGTTTCCTGGCTGATGGTTGTTCAGACCTAGTAGTTTGTCTCTTAGAACTTCTTCTGTACTTAATAAAAGCACTGGATATTGGTACAATATTGGTACTTTCACCTGGCTGTAGTCTCCAGCTTGGCAGGGGTGGTGTCCCACAGAGGAATGGGACATGGAGATGGTTGTGCCTCACCTGTATCACAGCCCAGTTGCTGATGTGCAGTAACAGTGGTGGTAGTTCTCAGCAGCATTTTGTTTATCTTTGTATTGACTGGTTTGGTGTTTCTTTGATGTTTTATCAGGTGATGATTGTATACAAAACAAATATTTGCTGTTAAAAATTAAGGTCTTGGTTCTTTCTGGTAACTTCATTAAGGAAGAGAAGCAAAGTGAGTTTTCTTACCTACATCTTTCAGTTCTTGTAGGAGGTTCTTTCCTTTGACTGAGTTCCCTTAATTAATTTTTATTTTTTTGCTTTTTCCTCCCTTCCTTCAGAACAAAAGGAATATCAGATGAGACTTCATGTGCTTTTGGTACTGACAGTTATGCAAGTAGCATTTGTTTCCTAATTTCCCCTCTTACCTGGGACTACAGGTAACAGCAGAGGGAGCCTTTGGTTAGAGAAAAGAAAACAAAACCAGTTAAATGAAATATAAAAAAAACCTACAAAACCTTTGTTGTGTTGTCTCTGTAAGACAGTTGTCAGTCTGTGCAGTAGTCAATCATCTGTTCTTATCAGCAGGAACAGTCCAAAGTTATCTGAGAGTAGACTTTGGAGTCTTTTCATTTAACAGGAGCAAGGCTTAATCTGTACAGAAATTGTGCTTTCAGGATCTTTAGAATCTCACAAAGAAGCAGGAAGGGTTTGGTGGAAATCAGTGTGGTGTTGTGCTCAGGCCAGGGCTGGAGCAGAGGAGTTACCTGGTGTGTTAAAAAAACACTGTTGCACCTACTTGCATTTTCCAACCAGACATTCCTATTTCCCTGTTTTGCCCAACAAACTGTTCTTTTCAAGCTCCAGATGTTTATGTTTACAGCTTCTATGTGAACTCAATTTATCCTGGTTTATTCCTTCATCAGGTCCTTTGGGGTGGTTTTGTGGGAGCTGCTCACGGGAGAGATTCCCTACAAGGACGTGGACTCTTCGGCCATCATCTGGGGAGTGGGCAGCAACAGCCTCCACCTTCCTGTCCCTTCCACCTGCCCAGATGGCTTCAAAATCCTCATGAAGCAAACCTGGTAAGAGCCTGAGCCCCACACAGCACGGAGCTGGGGCTGGCTCCCAGCAAAACCCGTGGAAGTCAGGGTGCAGAGAGCAGAGGGCTCTTAGATACTCTCACACTTGTCCTGAGAGCAATAATTTTAACATTTTGGATTCTGCTTCCTTGTGGCAGCAGGCCTGGAGCCCAAGACATCTCCAGGAGCCTTTGCAGAGGGTGTTGCTTTGCTGTAGCCAAGTGGGGGATAAAAGGTAGCTCTGTGGGAAGACAAAAGGAGCTGGAAGGAAAGTAGGGGTAAAATTCCTTGAGGCCACATCCAGAGTGAACTGATTTTTTCACTTGGAAAACCCCTTGTAAGCGACTGACTTTTGGACTGGACAAATAGAAATGCAAGCTTTCTGTCTGGAACACAGATTTTCCGGGTTCCTGGTATAGAAAATGCTTTCAGTTTCCTCCATGTTCCAGATTAGAGTTGACATTCTTTGTCTTGGGTTTCACATTGATGCTTTGTCTTTTTAATTACACCTTGACACAGTGTAAAGGGTCTCCCAGCATCTTCCCACTCCATGGGTTTCACCAGCCATCCTCCCCATGGCACAAAGAGACAAGAGGCATGTGTGGATCTTCCCCAGTGGCTGCTCACCCTGAGCTGCAGCAGTCGGGCTGTAGCAGCTCGGTACAACGGAGCACCTACAAACACTTGTATCCCCACCTAGTGGAAGGAGGTGGTTGGTAGGGGAGAGGAGGCTCAGGAAGCTGCTCTTGCCCTGAGCAAGGTGAATTCAGTACTGAAACTCAAGTGCCGGTCCTTTTTCTCAAATATCCAAACGCTTTTGTACTTTTCTGTGATCTTTAGGGCTGTTCAGTGCATTGCAGTACTCAGGCATGTGCTGTGTGACAACTCATAGACTTCTAGTGCTTAGAAGCACCCTGAATGTAAGTTTTCATTTCGACTAGATTGAGTCTTCCCATTACAAATTTTGGAAATTGATGAGACAACAAACCGAAGTATGTTTCTTCTTGACAAGCAAGTTAGGATAGAAACTGAAACTGTTCCTATCTTTCACTCTGTAGTTGCATTTTCTGGTCTTAAACATTTTGCACCTCTTTTGTTTCTTCAGAATGGATCATCACAAACCACCTCTAGCACAATTAAATTGTATTCAGCAAAAGAGAAAACCAGAATAGCTCCTTTTCTCTTACCTGTCAGCTGCTTGGTTCAGACAATAGAATCTAGTGAAACCCTTTCAGAAGGGCAGGAGAGTCTGGCAGTGCCTGTCTGGCAGTGCC